TGGAAATACAATTCTGAGCAGACAGCAGCACTCTGCCCTGCTGAGAATTGCCTTTAAAATGAAAGCTCAGTGCACACAGCCAATCCGGGACAACCCACAGGGCATCATCTCAACCTGCTTTGCTGTATGAAGTCTGAAGCACAGTGCCACACCATTTCCTTTAAGTCAAGCTTGCACATATCTGGGCCCTTGTTTTAAAGCACACAGATACAAGCTGGCACTGGATTTGGCAATGTCTTACTTCCTGTGAATTTCCTTCAGGGCCAAATCACCCTTGGTTTTGGATGCAGTTCTGGACTTCTTCAAGTGGTTAAAGGAGGGTACTACATCAGTGAATAGTCTTCACATACTTGATCTTTTTATTTCAATAGTATTTGTCATATATAAACTATCGAAATAAATAAAAGAAAATCAACAGCCAAACTCAAATTCAGATTAACTTCAATCACATTTTTCTCTTTAAAATAATGTCTTTTGTCCATCCTTGCTACCACAATCACAAAATAAATAATACCACAACCACCAAAAATCTAGGTTAAAACACACAAACACATTCTCTCTCTCTCTCTCTCTCTCTCTCTCTCTCTCTCTCTCTCTCTCTCTCTCTCTCTCTCTCTCTCTTTCTCAGAAATGGAAGATTATTTGGGCAAACACATATCATCTTGAAAAAGCAGAACACCTAAGAGACCCAGCAAAACTGGTTCTTACAGCAAGACCTCTGTCAAGAAACTCATTTAACACATTAATCACACAAATGATTGATCCAAAAGCCCTAATAACCTCTTCTAGTACTATCTTTTCTCACCTCTTAATACCTCATAACTGGAATTAATTTCAACAAGAATTTTGAGAGAGACAAAAATAGTATAAGACAAAGAAAGAAAGCAGTTTCTGGCGTGGCTCCCAGTCTCAATGACCACTGTCAGCATTCCCAGTGCCAGGATCCATTGCTTCTGTGAGCTATGCCTACAAGCTATTGCTATCTTTTTAAAACTGAAAATGAGTCTTCATTTTACAATATATTCTAAACTTCCTTAGTTGGAATTTATGTGTACAAAATTCCATTATGTAGACTGATGGACAGTTGGCTTGTTTCAAGATACTTCCTGATGTGGTGCATTAGCTTCCATTTTAGTGGACGGTGTCTTGATGCAGAGACTCATAACCAATTGAGGTGATGAGTATAAGTAAATGCGAGTGCTTAGCTGTGGAAGGGTGGTCTAGATCACACCCTAGCGGAAGAGTGTGTGGAAAGAATGTAAGGGCCTGTGAATGGGGCACTGGTCTACTTTCCTTTTGTTTCTGTGATAAATCATTCTGATCCAAAGCAACTCTGGGAGGGCAGAGTTTATTCCAGCTTACACTTCTAGGCAATCAATCATTGAGAGTAGCCAGTGTAGGAACTTAGGCAGGAACTCACAGTGGAACCAATAGAGTAACACTTCTCTGAATTTTGTTTAGCTAGCTTTCTCATACAAACTAGGTTATCTGCCTAGGGCTGGGCCCTCCTCCATCAATCAGCAATCAAGACAGTGTCACACAGGCATGTTCACAGTACTTCCTTTTAGGCTCTGTCTTCCCAGGTGATGCTAGACTGTGTCAAGTTGTCAACAAAAACTAACTAGGATAGGAGGAGAGCTGTGAAATGCTGACTTCTGAACAACATGGAGGATGCACACATCAACTCACAGCAGCTATGGTTACCTGCACAAGACCCGAACAAGATCAAGCCAATCAAAATTCCAACATAGATGGATACAGAGCCCTTGAAGCATCACTTCTAGTGGGTAAGCTATTGGTAGTTAGTGGTTGCTTAGACAGGGATGGTCACTCTTCTTTGGATGTGTGGCTGTTGGTAGGTTGTTCATGCTCCATACCCAAGCACATATGGATAGAGGTAATTGGACTCAGGATATTTTTAACAACAATAAAAAGAGGCCATGAGTTAGGAAGCTGACAGGGTTGAGAGCAAAATTGAGAGAACTAGGTGGAGCTAGAGAGAGGTAGTGGTTATGATCAAAATACGTTGCACAAATACATATTTTTAAAGAGTAATTAAGAATATTAATTTTAAAAGAAAAGAAAGGAGTAGAAGATTGTGAAAACCTTCAAATGGCTGCTGAAATATGGATATTGAGAAGAGAACTATCAAATTCACAGGCCCTCTTCTACAAAATGGTGGATGAGGAAGAGCAAGATGGTTCAATCAGTGAGCTCCAGGTTCAGTGAGAGACCCTATCTCAGAAAATTTTAGGTAGAGAGAAATTGAAGAAAACATTGAACATTGACCTCTTGCTTCCACTTGAGCATGCATACATACAACCACATGGACACAAACATATAAAAATGCTTGCCTGCCTGCCTATCTATCTGTCTGTCTGTCTGTCTGTCTGTCTGTCTGTCTATCTATCTATCTATCTATCTATCTATCTATCTATCGGTTGATCGATCTATCTCTCTTTCTATGTCTCTACTGTGTGGAGGACTTTGATATATCTCTCTTTCATCTTTTCCTTTATTGGAAAATGAACAAAGGAAAAGGAAGCAGGCCTGGCCTCTTTTCAACTAGTCATCTCACCACCCCATCACCCACTGAGGAAAAAGCTTGGGCTCAAATATCTCTAGTCCTCTAGCTTCTTTCTCTATGCCCCAGTATTGTCACTTGTCAGATGAGGGTATGGAAGCTGAGCTCCAGACATCTGCAAACATTGTCCTTCATGGAGAATTCCATTTTGAGTTCTTTGGCTGTGGAACATTGTGGGCTTCCTAGCTCAAAGCTGGACTTCAGTGCCCAGAAAACACCTACAGAAGGACAGGAAGTTTGGTAACTAGCAAAAGACAGAACATCAGGACAATGCTTATTATAGGGGTTAGAACTGGAGACTGATTCATAGTACAAGGACCGGGGGGGTGAGAGCTGTCCATGGTCCTGGCCAGCATTGCCCACTGGACGTTTAAGGCCCTGGTCAGTCCCAACTTCCGCAAACTCTGGATGGAGTCTGGAGCTGCAGCACTCAGTCCTTGCATGGTTTGTAATCAGATTTTTTCTTGCCTTTTTGTTGTGCTCGTTATATATTTTTAATAAAACATGCACATATGCATATGTTTTGAAAATATTTTTATTCCACAGGTTCCCCTTCCACTCTGTTGTCTTGTTACATTTAAACCTTTAATCCATTTTGATTTGCTTTTCATAAATGATATAAGATCCCAGATTTATTCTTCTATATATGTATATTCAGTTTCTCCAATACTATTTTCAAAAGTTTGTCTTTAATCCCGGGAATATCTGTGGCACATTTGTCAAAATTCAGCTGACCATAAGTGTGGATTTGTTGCTGGGATCTCTATTCTTTGTCTACATGTCTTTTTAACATAATAATACCATGTTAAAAAGGTATTTAATACAAAACGGTATTTTGATTATTAAGATTTATAGAATATTGTGAGATCAAGTAGTATAATGCCTCAAGTATATTGCTCAAGATTTTCTTAGCTAATCAGATTCTTTGAGGGGGTCTGTATGAAATTGAGGATTTATTTTTCCAATTCTGATAAAAGATCAGTGGGGTTTTGACAGGGATTTCATTACATCCATTAATTTCTTTATGTTAGATGAACATTTAATTTAATCTTTGTTGTTTTCATACAATGTATTTTAATCATATTCACTCCCCACTTTCCTCTCCATGGCTTCTTCCTGATCCAACTCCACCTCCTTGCCCCCTCCCAACTTCATGTTCTCTTTATTTTTTCAGTACCCCACCAAGTCCATTTGTGCTACCCATATAGTCTTGGCTGTGAAGGGGAAAACATCCTTAGGTGGACTTTTAAAGAATATTAGTTCTTCTAAACCATGAACATATGATAGCTCTCCATTTGTATATGTGTCTTCTTCCGTTATAGCTTGATGGGAAAGTTATTGCATTGTAAGCATAAGGACCTTGGTTCTGGTCTCCATCCCTCAAGCAAAAGGTCAGGTGAAACTACACCCACTTATAATCTCAGCATTGAGGAGTGGAAACCAGAGGACCATGGGCTCCTTGGCCAGCCATTATAAACAAACAGTGGGCTCAAGATTCAGTAAGAGAAACTGATTCAAGAAAATAAGGGGGAAAATATTAGTGGAAGACACACAACATTGATATCAGACCTTCAGATGAGAAACCACAGGCATATACATCTGCACATACATGTATTGCACACATAAACACACACACATGCATGCAAACATGACACATACACACAGACCCCAAATAAATAAATACACAAATAGATAAGTGAATGTAAATGAAAGAATAACCTGGGGTACTCCTGAGCATCTTGCCCAATAATTCTAAATGGGAAGAGATAAGAGATTCCTTCAGGTTTATTGTTGATTACACAACTGGTCTGAGAAGTACACTTGAAGAAGCACCACGTAAATCGCTTATGACTTAACTGCTTTAAAAACCAATTTTGCAGTATGTAAGAAGTTTAAATAACATCTATAAAGACAATGACATCCCCCACTGCATCTCATATGTTACAAGTATTCATGTAAAATTCATAACCAACAAACACCAAAGTCTGTTGACTCCCTACAATTGACTTCAATTGTCACTATGATCCATGCAGTGGGCTTGGTCCCCTAGGTCTTTAAACTGTGTCATAAGATTTTCTGGCAAATGAATTTCTAAAGGAGCGAGAGAAATATTTCAATCAAAGAAGCATTTGAAACTTAAAATATTGTGACATTGATGTTTTTCTCCAGCTTAAATAAAATCCTCGCTTTTCTAAAGTGGATTTACTATTTTTAAATGTATGTAACATTTAATGAATATCTCCTGTCTTTAGCTAATATCTACTATATCACATATGCCTTCAAAAATATTTCCCAAATGTACTTGAAAATGATGTCAGAAAGTTGTGGAATCAGGATCAGGTGGGCATACATACAATAGAGAGATAAAGCACACTATATAAAAATAATGCATACTATAGAGAAAAAATACCCAGAATGTTTTGTACAATGATCTAAAACTTTATTGCTTGTAACTATCTTGATAGAGTCTCAAATAAGAGGAGATTTACAGAGGCAGGATAATGAATCAGTTCTCAGAGCCATAGTGGATGAACATAGAAGCTAAGCTTCACAGTTTGAGATTTGTACTGAACTGAATAATTCATTCATGAGGACAATCTTATGTTTCACACTAAGCCATATAACATATTCCTTTACATCTTACCTGGAAGGCAAAAACAAATAAATGAATCATGAATTATAAGGGTCACAAATTTGATGAATATTGATGAGAGGTGAGAAATTACATTTTAATCTAAATTGAATGTATGAGATGTCTAAATCAAAGATGATTCTGAGTTACCCTGAGAGGGTTTAATACACTTTAAGAGAATTTTTATTCATTTGGTGATGCTCCACTGTGTTAGCATTAAGTAATAAAAGCCGACATATCAAATTAAAGATTTTTCTCTTTAGATGAGGAAGCAGTTATTATATTTCTATCAGCAGAATTTTGATTGACCTCTCAAGTTCTACCCGTGACATCATTTTCTGTTCATGTCTTTATTTTCTGCAGGGCACTGCAAAGGATTCCAAACTCACCTACAAAAAAAGAAGAGCAGAAAAGTGAGCCATCTGTTAAAAAATGAAAAGCCCAATAGGGTTGCTGGGATGCATCACACCAAACTTCAGAGCACTTACAACTTACTTACAGAGCCAACGCTAGCCCAGGTCTAGTGTGTGCAGTGAGTGCTAAAGTTGTCAACATAATTTGTTTCCCTTTTCACAAGCTGTTTCCTGGAGATAAAGGGGTTTTTCTAAGCAACAGGATTTCCAAGCAGATACCTAGGTCTGTGTGCTCTTTTTGACATACCTATCCACAACAGCTTCAGGACTGTTGCATTCAGGACTCTAAGCAGTTAAACTTACAGAGTGTGGGGTTCATTTTAGTATCCCATTTCAGAAACACCTGAGGTTCTAAGCCTCTGCACAAATTTAGAAAGTTTGGTTTGGACCTATGTAACTCAGGACTGTAATTTTTTTCAGCACTTGAAAATAGGGATGGCCCCCATAGGCTCAAATATTTGAATGAGTTGTCATTAGGGAATGGCTCTAATTGAGAAAGATTGGGAGGTGTGGCTTTGTTGGAGTGGGCATGGCTTTGTTGGAGGAAGTGTGTCAGTGAGTATGGGCTTTGGGGTTTCAGAAGCCCAAAGCAGGCCCATTGGCTCATTCTCTCTTCCTGTGATCTGGGTACAGAACTCTCAGCTACTTCTCCAGCACCATGTCTGCCTGCATGCCACCACACCTGCCTTAATGATAATGGAAATGAAAAACTAAATGAAAATTGATGCATAATGAATTCAGGGTGGTTTGGGCACTCTTTGCCTATGTCATGTGGTGCCACTGGACTGCAGTTTTGGTTCTGGACACACAAGATGCACATTTTTGTACTGTGCCAACCATCGTGTCACACAACACCCATAAACTCTGTCTGAAACAGCTGGGTTTATACACAGGGCCATTGTATATCATGAATACCAGTGCTTCAGTGGTGTATACAAAGTTTTTTCTGCCCTCATAGAAACACAATTTAGTTATAGAAAACAACTTCTAGTGATTGCCTGTAGTCATTCCTCACTCATTCATTCAAAAGCTCTAATTATCCTTATGAATAAGGTTAGGTCCTAGGGACTTAACAGAGATCTTGATATTTATCTCTGTTCAGGTCTAATTTGGGACACAGAAAGTAAACAATTCTAAAACGGTGTAACCCTCTGAAAGGAAGATCTGCAAGAACATAAAAACATATGCAGGACATACAAGCCAGTCATCCTACAAGAAGAGATGTCTGTGTAAGACACATGAGATGCACCGGCTTTGGACATATCACACAGGCATGGCAAAAGAATATTTTAAGCAGAAATGATGTCATGGGCAAAAGCCAGGAGAGGGCACAGGGACCAGAAGCTGATCTGTGGTGCTAGAGGGTAATTTCAGTGGCTATAGAGAATCAGGTGTGAACAGGGTGATCGGTGATGTTTCTACAGTAACTGTTATAATATCCACCACCAGGGAAGAGTAGAAGCCAGCAGCAGTAGATGAGTTGGATTATGGGAGGCTAGTGAAGCAGACAGAATTTAGTTCTCAGCACATGAGATTCCAGGCTGGGTGATATCAACTGACATTTAGAAGAAAAGGGGCAGGAAGGCAAATGATGAGAAGAACCTGAGAGCAACAGGCTGGGTGTGGAAAGGTGGTGTCGTGGTGAGAGATGGGATTGGATGCCAGAAGGTCAAAGGAAGAAGGTCAAAGGAAGAAGGTCAAAGGAAGAATGTCAAAGGGGAAGGTAAGGCAACCTGCATAGTTCTTTTCCTCCAGTGAACCTATGGCGTATGTGGAGATGTTTCTTTTGTCCCTGTGGGAAAGGTCAGAAGACACGGCCTCTATTCTGGGAAAGAAGGTAGAGTTCCATCAGCTGTGAGCTACTTACTGTTGATGGAGTCAGCCAAAATCTTCAGCTGTTGAGTGTTGTCCAGGACCTCAACCCTTTGAGTGTAGGGGTCATAGCGAACCGAGAAAGGCCGGGGGATTGTGGCAGCAAAGGCCCTGAAATGAACACCAAGGGCCTAAGTGAGGGTCACCACTTAGAGAGAGGTTATGCTGAAGGAGTTCTGAGTGGGAATTACTTTGCTGTGAACCCTGAAACTTCCTGTAACAGTGGCTCAAAAGCTGCGGTTGAGGTGTGAAGAACAATTGAACCAGGAACAGCTGGGGAAGTCTTTGTGTGTGTGTGTGTGTGTGTGTGTGTGTGTGTGTGTGTGTGTGTGTGTGCCCACACGCACGTGCGTGTATAAAAGCACAAAGCACACATATTGAATAAGATAAGTGAAACCTACACACAGAATACGATTAAAAGAAATAACAAAGGTACTTGACAATCAACGCAAATGGAAACACAGCTCTGGGCAATTGACTGAAACATTGTTGTGACATGGATCAGGGGTCTCATATGAATCTAGGATCACATTAAATTCTAACTGCTCTAATCCCTTTAAAAATATCACTAAGTAACCCCTTACTAAAGCCCTAAAATTAAGTACTGTGTTATCCCTATTTTTCAAACGAGGGGGCTGAGCCTTGGGAAGTTGAGTACATGGACTGCTACTGTCAGTTGCAATGCTGTGAAGGAACCTGGGCAGCCTGGTTCTGACCTGGATGCTTTATTGCCTTCCCTAAGCATTCTGTAGGAATCTCCCCGGCGGGACTTTGTGAGCGACAGCCGTCAATATAGTTAACAAGACACTCCATTAGCCTAAGATGAAAGTAAAAACTACTGTATTGAAAATGACAGTTCAGTACAGACAGTAAGCCACTCCAGGTTTTGGCAAGAGTAGCACCCTAAGTCCCCAAGTCAAGCTGTCTAGGTTCCTTTCTTGTCCGTTATAGCCCTTGTGATCAGAGGCAACAGCTCTCCTCTGTTCCTCACACTCCTTATTTTCTTATACAATCAGGGTACCAACAGTCCCAAGAACAGAGGGGCATGACAAGTGCTGTCACACTACTTGTGAGTTCATTATCTCCCCATCTTCCCTCTCTGAAAGGAGCTTTTAACCCAGATGGTGCCATGTCTAATGTGATGCAGGTCTGATCTCGACTACTCTAGGTCTCTTCCCCTGTATATTTACAGAGCACCCCATTTGACTTTGGGGAATGCCCACACCCACCTCACTGAATGTATCTCAGTCTTGGGCCTTCTTTCTGGAATCTCACCTCACTTTCTCCTTGGCGTCATTGAAACTCTCTGCTACGTAGTATAGGGGCTGGAACTCTGTGACGTTGTACTCCTGTGAGGCTGTCTTCTCTAGGTCCAGGGGCAGGAGTTTTGGCTTGTCTGATAAACAGTACTGCAGACCCAGAGAAAAGTTTTCAGCTGAGTCAGGGCCTGTGCTCTCACCCGCATCCCATAGTTCATCAGCAAAACATCTCCCATAACCATCATTTCCTTAGCCCAGTGCAAATTTGGTAAACTGATTTATTCAGCATGTACTAGATTAGACTCCCCACAGCTCATTCAAAGCCTACAGTTAACTAGAAGGGCACAATTCATTTCAACACTTCCTAATAATGAACTTAATAGGCATAGCCAATCATATTTCTTGGCATATGTTTGCATACTTACAAGTTGTAAGCCTGGGTCAGTTTGGCCTCAGGAGGCCTCTCCTTCATGGAGTTCTGTGGACTTATGCTTGAATTTCTATCTCTAACAACACAGTTGTAGTCAAAGCATAGCTGCTAAGGTACCAATCACCTGAGGAAATGAACCTCTAATTATAGCTAACAGCATTTCAGCCAAGTCCCAAAGGTGGGAATGGTCCTACATACTCCTGCTTCTAAGTGCCCAGGCTTTCTGCTAAACTCATACCTGTAATTCACCAAAGGATGACAGAAGCCCCGCACCATATGCCTTGATGGAATCTCCTTCCTTGCAGAGCCCAAACTCCACAGTAAACCAGTAAATCTGGAATAGAAAGCAAGCAAAAGACACTTATCAGGGATGAGTAAGGTAGCAGATACATAAAGACATATCCAGTAGGTTGAAGTCTGCACAGATATATTCTCTGAATCAGTGAGGCCTAGCATCACTCTGTGGCCCATGGCTTCTTCTATCCAGTAACCTGTTGAATCAGGTGTGGATGAATCATGGTGTAATAAAACATGTTACAGTGTGCTAGAATTTCCCAAAGACATCCCCAACAAGTTCCTTTCTGTGTGACAGAAATTCTCCATGACTTTTACTTTTCTATCTATGGCACAAACTGGAATGATAGATTCCTAAGATATTGCTATATTGGGAGGGTTCATATGGTAATTTTACCAAGGAAAAGAAGTGAGTGGTTAAGGGATTGAACAGTGAGAGAGTCCATGAGGTGCATACTCCATCTGCTATGCAAAAGCATGGGGTACTGATGAAGTCAGCTACTATGTGTGTCTTCCCAGTAATCATGCCCTTTTCTTCCAGTATCTCCTACTCCAATGGATCTTGGATACTTGACCTAGATAACAGCTCTGGAGTTCTGGCACCAAGAGAAAACAGGGCTTAGTGAGATGCTAGAGATGGTCAACATCTTGGAGAATTAGGGGTGGGTTAACAGTTAAGTCTCCTTGTTAGATTGTAGGACATTAAACCCAAGAAGGTCATCAAAGCCCAATCAATATGTCTTCATCATACACAGCAGCCTTCAGCCTAGAAAGTTAAGGTGACATACTCACAGTGACACAGAAAATCAAAGGCACAGAAAAGACACAGGTCTGTTCCCAGCTCAGAATGACAATATAGTGGGTCCTTTGTCATTAGTGAGGGACATAGTGAGGTACTCTGGATTCTAAGACTTTACTCTTTATAAATGATAAATTCTATCCACTTTTTCTAAAAGCCCTTGGAAAGCTGACTCCCTAAGATACCTAAAATGTAAAAACTTACATTCACACGAATTTAACTCTTTAGACCCACATGAAATTCTTTTGAGATGGGCAATAAATTTTCATGCCCATTTTTTAGAGATAAAGAAACAAAAGCCACTTGCCCTGATACTCGGAGGAGATAGATGTTCAGTGGACAAACCTAGAAGTTTCTAGTCTTTCTGAAGGAGGGAGTATATAAAATTTCTTACCAAACACATCTCAATGCAAGTCTTGCATTAACTGTAGTTTTTTAAATTTAATGTAAACTTTTGTTTTTTAATCTTCCAGGCCAGGCATATGATAGGAAACACAGTTTTGTACCTGGAGAGGGATATTCAGAAACTGGAAAATGTAAGGAAGGAAATTGCCAATGGTGCAGATCTGGTGTTGCCATAGCTCCTGTGTGTGCATGGTCCCTGATTCTCTTGTGAGAGAGAGGGAAATGTTTGGCAAGAATGTGGAGCCTGGACCCATTTTTTACCTTCTATCTAAAACAGACCCTGAGACTAGTTCTAGTGCAGAGGTAGAGAGGTAAATATTCGCTGAACAGAGCACTAAACCCAGGCAGTTCCTGGCACCCTTTGAACCAAAGGATTTCCAGGTCTATTATTACACTTGGTTGTTGTTTCCAAGGAGATCCTATTAAAAATTATGTGGAAATATCCATATGCAAGCTCACCTTAAAATCCAGTCCCTTAAAGAAAAATGGAAATGTGACATTTCATTCATGTGAATGTAACTTACCATGTTCTTATTATTATTTCAAATGGCCTAGCTGACAGGGAGAGAAGAAACCTTCAAAGACCTGAAGTGTGGGAACACCAGACCTTGTTCAGAAACCCACTTCCCCATCAGCCTGGGAGTAAGCAGCTGTAAGACAATGTTTACTAAAAACATGTTTACAAAAAACAATACAATGCCGGGGCAATAAGTTCCTGAAAAGGGCTGGCCCACGGGAACCGCCCTGACCTCGACCTTGTCCAAAGACTAACCGCCTCTTCTGACACACCCAGATCAGTTTTTGGTGTCAGAGCAGAACCAGCCAGGGGAGAGGAGAGAGCAGACGCTTTTCTGGAGGGAGGCCTTTCTTGGGAAGTTTTCTTGAGCCTTTTTGGGGCCTGCTTAAAGTTTTCTTTACATCGTTGAACAAGTCTCTGTGTTGTCAATCCCCAACACTCTCCGCACGTTCTCGGACACAGGCTGCACAGGCGGACGCGGCACTGAAGGACATGGCCCTTAGCATTCCCATAACCCTTCCATGGACAAGACTTACTGTGGCTAGTTTCTCGATGTATTCATCAGGTGCACCCAGAGAAGCAAGCCCGATTTCCTGTGTGTGGAGAAACAGAGTCAGTGGCACACCCATTATTTAGACTTTGCCCTCAGCCGGGCATTGGTGGTGCACACCTTTACTCCCAGAACTTGGAGGCAGAGGCAGGCAGATCTTTGTGAGTTTGAGACCAGCCTGTTCTACAAGAGCTGGTTCCAGGACAGCCTCCAAAGCTACACAGGAAACCCTGTCTCAAAAAACCAAAAAATAAAAAATAAATAAAAAAGACTTTACTCTCAGTGCCAACTTGACACCCAATAATGGGCAGGTAATTTATTTCTAAACACTTTCTGAAGGCCCTAGATTGACACTGCATATTTGTAGAAGTCCACTCTAGCCAGGCCAGAGGCACAGACTTCAGGAGCAGAGGAATGCATCACCAGTACTTGCTTCCTTTGTCTTCACTTTACAAAAAGGAATGACAAGTTAGCCTGCACATGGTCACACAGCATCTAAAACATCATCTGTTGACAGCAGCCTAGTGATCACACACACCCACACAGAATGAGAGAGATATTTCTGGAATACAGAATGAGTCTTAATCAGATACTTGAAAATACAAAAGGAAGACTGCAGAGAAGTGGTTGCGTCATTCCAGACATACGCATAGCTGGAGAGGCTGAAATGCCATGGATCACTGAGTACAGCCTCAACTGCAAAATTCCTCTGGTGGTCTCTTGGACTCTTTAACAGCAACCCTCTGTGTGTGTGTGTGTGAGTGTGTGTGTGTGTGTGTGTGTGTGTGTGTTTCCAAACATGTATTCATTCACTCCAAACATGTGCATTAAGTGTTTTCTATGTGCCAGGAAATATACAAAACTGGCACATATACTTGACCTTGTCATTTATAATAAAAATACACAGTTGTTAAGATGTGCGTGGATAAGTAAAAATTTAGCAAAGACTTAGGGGGAAAAACACAAGGAGGAAGAGACAGAGGACTGGGAGCTTGGGGTAATCCTGGGAAGGCTTCATTATTAATTTGGGTTCTAGGAAAGGTAGTACTTGGGGAAAGGCTTGGATGCTATTGGTTCTTCTGATGACAGGTTGGATGCTGCAGAGCAAACAGCAAGTGTACAGCTAGTTGGGACACTGTCTAAGCAAGGGAGATGCGGGCTGCTCCCAGGAACAGAGAATGAGGGACAGAGCAGCTATAGTATAGAGAGAGTACTGGTGGGAAACACTGAAGATCCCAAATGCGATCATGTGGGCTTTTTTTAAAAAGGCATTTGAGGACTTGGGTTTTTCTTTTCAGTGAAATAAAAATCCATTTCAGGATTTGCAGTAACTCCTGTTGTTTTTCTTCTTTGGTAATTCCATGTATGTATATAAATTATTCTAGAGTGGACATGATCTAATAATATATGTCACTGAAGACTTACTCTGGCTACTTTGTGAGAATAGACTGTAGGAGTCAAGGATGAGGGTGGGATGCCAATGAAGAAGCTACAGCAGACAAGTAAAGAATGAGAGTGCCTGAGAGCCTCTTAGCAACAATGAATGAGAGTGCTAAGAGCATATTATCAACAAAGAACGAGAGTGCTGAGGTCATGTTAACCCCCAGATGTGTGTTTTTGGCTTGAGCAAATCAAAGAATGGAGTTGTTATGGACTCTTACAGGGAGACTTATGGCTGAATAAACTTTGAAGAAGATTCAAAAATCAGCTTTGGACAGGAATATAGAGATGTCTAATCAACATCAAGTGGGGTGGAGATGCTGAATTGATGGTTCATATGTAAGCATGATTTGGTGTTGAAGTCTAAGTCAAGAACATGAATGTTCAATAGTATATTAGAGATAATATTCATAGACAAGAGATTGGCTAAGCTCACCAAGGACTGGGTACAGACAGGGAGGAGAACTAAGGGCTTTTTTATTTTGAAGCAAGAGGCTACATGCCTTGTATCACCATATCCCTCTCTGGGCCCCACATTGAGGCTGACATACACTGTCTATAGAAAGTACTGTCTGGCTTAGAGTAAACCAAGTTCAGGTAGCCCCTAGCCTGGTTCTACTACCCCATTTTTCCCCCACCTCTACTCTAATTCTAACTCTACTCTATTTCTAGATATTCGAATCCTGAGTTTAACAGAATCCATTGATAAGCTGAGGTTAAATCCTTAGTTGTTTCTCTTGACATCATTTTTTTAAAGATAGGGTCCCGTATATTCCAGTCTAGCCTCAAACTGGCAGTATAGGCAAAGATAATCTCAAATTCCTGATCTTCCTTCTTGCATCTCGCAAGGGTTGGAATTGCAGGTGTGTGCCACAACACCCAATATCTTATTCTTTGTAAGTCAAGAGTTCAACTAACACAGGGGCCCCTAAGATCCTTCTGTACTCCATCACCACCCCCACACTGCCCTACAGTGGTAAGAAACTTCTGACTTCAAATCAAAACAAAATGTTCTCAGAGAACAACTTTTTGCCTTGGGACTATCCATGTCAAAGACGAGAGTGCTAAACAGATGATCATACAATATCTGCTGACGTTAATTGTCTACTCCTCTCCAGGGTTACCCAAAATGCAAATGACTTAAGGAAGACTGCCACCAGCTCTGCAGCTAAATAGAATATCTCTCATGTCAAGAATTCAAGGTTCCTATTCTCCAAGGAGAAAGCTTCTAATTCTCCTGTCATAGTAACAAGTTCCTGTTTTAAAACTGTCTTGAGTAATCAACACCATCTTGGCAGCCGTAACTGCATTATTGGCAATAACACTTTCACAGCTAAAGTTCAAACAGACACTCCCACTTCTAAAGTCCAATGGTTTCAGGGCTCCATGATTCTCAAAACCTCACATGGAAGTAGCAAGTGTTTTTGTTTGGACAGCCTAAGTCTTCTAAGTAGTCAAGAAATCAGTTGAACTTTTTATCTCATTTGTTTCAAATATCAAGTGGCAGCTGCCTTGTTCCATGGTTGGAAACACTTCCTGCAGCTAATGGCAAATGCTTGTAAATTCAAGCACAGTGTCATTACCTTCAAATTCCTACTCAGAGCATCGTTCACTCATGTGCCATCCTTTGACCATCACTCTTTCTAGTGAGGAAGAAGACTGATAAGACCAATTTTACTGATTCAAGTTCATGGGAACTGAGGCACATGATGGCTTCACAGCTTGTCCAGCTCATCAAAGCTCTGGGTTGGGTCTATGAGTACCTCGGAGCCATCATTCAATCTTTCATTATCCCAGCCACCCAACTGTGCTTTAAAATATTTTTATGGTTTTTAAAAATTATTTGGGCACCTGTGTGTCTCTGTGGGGTGTGTTCATATGAATGCAGATGCCTGCAGAGACCACAGTCATTATATGTTAGGGTTAGAGATATGGGTGGCTATTGGTCACCTGATGTGAGAGTTTGAACAAAAACTGTGGTCCTCTGCAAGAGAAGTATGTTGTCTTAACTGCTAAGTCATTTCCCTAGATACCTCCTACACACACACACACACACACACACACACGGGACCCCCTCCTGGTGACAAGAGAGAATTAGGAGAATTGCTTGAACTCATCAGAAAACAGTTTTGAGTTTTCTTATCACTGTGAAAGATAAATCAAAGTCATGGTACTATTTTGACAGTTGAAACAAGACATTATATGGCTCTTTATTTTATCTTTCTTTGTTTCCTTCTCTGTCTCTCTAGTCAATCTTATACATAAGATCATTGATGTTGGATTCTTGGCAAATGTCATCTTATTTAGTTCAAGTATACATACAGAAGACTACCTGACAGGATGGAAAGTGTCAAGGTCTCTCAAAAGACTACTGGATGGAAAGTAGTAGACAAATTTGAAAGCAGCTGAGGTGACGTCTGCATAGAGATGAGAGATGCTTTTATCAATGAGAAGGCTCTTAATATATGACTGACAAGATCATTGAGATTAGCCAATTGGTCATAGGCATGTCACAGAATGATCAATCACCAACCCCAGGCTGTGGTTCTGAGTGTTCCTCCTGGCCCACAGAGCCACACACCCTTCACGGTGATATTCTTCTCAGGTAGGAACATGGAACGATATCTTTTTCCACTCGTACAGAGCATGTGAGGGCCCCTTTGTCAGGGATTAACTCATTTCAGAAATGCAGTCCAAACCCTATAGCCAAGTCTTTTTTTTCTTACCTGGGAAAACTGGGCAAAGCTGCGATCTGAAAACAGGGGCACATGTCCCAGCAGTTCATGACAAATGTCACTAAAACAGAAAGTACAGCATTTAGAGGATGGACAGGTTAAACCAAGTTAGAAACAATGAGGAAAAAGTAGCACATTGAGGCCTGGGACTTTACTCTCGAGAATAAGCTCTGTTTGAAGCAAAGGATCCCTTGAAATACAGTATGAAAGAAAAGGAAGAAAGGGAAAGGAAAGAAAGGAGAGGCAGAGCCGCTCAGAGTCCTAGGAGACAAGAGGGGTTCAGATGCAAAGCCAAGGAACCAGCATCTGTATAGGTCTCTTCTCAGATACCTGAGTGAGTTGTGGGTCAGAGATTCCTCCCATCCCAAGTCTCCTTGTCACTCACTTACCCGGAGAGGGATAATGTTCCCAGCTTTTCCAATAAGGACTTTTTTTTTAAATAAAGGTGTTGCTCTTTTCTTGGCCCAGAGTAGGCCAACAGTCAAAAAAGAAAGGTTACATTTTTTTCTAAAACACTACCGGTTCCAAAGAAACAAGTCCTTTCTAATTGAGCCGTGAACATCATGAAGAGGGGGAAATAATCTGGGACATCATCCTGATCTCCTTGGATCAATTTCTATGTGACTAATGAGGTGGCTAGAAGTCCAAGTAGGAAGCACAGTGGCCACCCATTCTCTCCTTCTGGCCAATACATAACCCATGCAAAGAACTGGCATCATCTAAATGTGTACTTGGGAGATGCTGAGATCACTTGGCTACTCTTGTTCCTATCCTATTTGGAACTTCAGAGGTCTGACTTTGAGGCTTGATGGAACTTCTTTTCCTGCTTCCCAAGGAGATCCCAATCCTTGGTTGACAGGATGTCCAAATCTGTGTGTCCAAATTTCATCTATCTGGACTGAGAAAATCCCCAAGGTGTGAGTTTCACTTAGAACCACTATCAAATAAAGCAGGCAATGAATTGTGCAGACCAGCCTGCAATGAACCTAGAAAGCATTCTTAGAGCAGGTAGGACTAGTGCCCATTGTGATTGGCAGTGGTAGCTGGAGAATGGTACTCACGGTTCAGGTGTGTACATGGGCTTAGACCCATGCCTGATATATTGTGTGCAGTGGAAGACTCGGAAGGCCAGGCCACCCAAGAAATCTCGAGAGGACAGTAAGCCAGCAACAGGTCGGAGGCGGAAACCAGTACAGGCTGAAAAGCAGAAGACAACCTAAAACTCAAAGTCTGTGGAGAAGCCAGAGACTCTACAAAACCCCCCAATAGGGAACCAATGCCCAGGAATGTGGACTTTCCACCAAGGAGACATGGCTTCTGGTCTCTGCCACCTTGGCTGTGTTGGGTTAAGTAAACTCACATTGATGAGATTCAGTTTTCTCACCTGCAAAATGTAGGTGGGTACTACTGAGGTATATACTGAACAGCAGGACAGTAACGACTAAAAAATCCTAGCGGAGCCTAGTCCATTGCAAAACTGCAGTAAATTTCCTGTTTGCTACTGATCATTGGCATCAGATACTTGTCCACTACTTCTCATATTTCCAGAGTGGTGAGGAGATTTCAGGTCAGCATCAGGAGTAAATCATGCAATTCCACACACAGTGGGGCTATGTTTACCATGCCACACACAGCCCATCCTAGGAAGAGAAATGTCCTGTCTGACTGCAATAATCTCAAAATCTCTCTCTCTCCCTCCCTCTTTCTCTCCTATCTCTCTGTCTCTCTCTGTGTCTCTCTGTCTCTCTCTCCCTCCCTCTCTCTCCTCTCTCTCTGTCTCTCTCTGTGTCTCTGTGTCTCTCTGTCTCTGTGTCTCTCTGTCTCTCTCTCTCCTCTCTCTGTCTCTCCCTGTCTCTCTCTCTGTCTCTGTGTCTCTCTGTCTCTCTGTCTCATCCATAAACAGGGCATGTGGGTTTCTCTTTAAAATGTAGGGAGCACCAAGAACTGGTAGATAGTTCCCTAATCAAGGTTAAAGTACTGGGAAAATTTTGAGCACCAATGTACTCTAAATAACTTTTCTTTAAAGCTACCAATTTATAGCCATCCTTTGCCTCCTACATCTGTTTCTCAATCTGCTCTACACTGGGAGTAGAAAGTGTTGCTGTGATGACCATAACTAACACTACATACTACCTAACATATGCCAGGCACAAGCTAACCCTTGCAATGACTATGAGGAAGACATTTTATCATCCCCACTTTAATGATGGGGAAGTTGAGACATGGGTTAAAGCTTTTAGACCGGGGCCACAAGACACAGACCACATGGCTTTAAAGCTTTTTGATTGAAATTACATAATTTGGCAACTGCCAGCATTGGCGTTTATCATTCTTGCTAATGGCCACAGCATCCGGCAATAAACGGGAGACCATCTTTAAGACTGGCTCTCACTTCCTTCACTCTACATTTTCAGGCTGATAATCACCTTGCTTTATCCTAGAGGTGGGAAAGATCTCGAAGATTATCACCTCATCCATTCCACTTCTAATCTCTGTCCCTGCCGTGTACTTTTTTGGCCTTTGAGATTCTGATGCACAGAAAAAAAGTCTTCCTTTATATGCAACTGTGGTTCATCTCCCTACTTCCCCTTATTCTACCTAGCACATAGTAGGCGTTCAATATGAACTAGTTGACTGTTCACACTTTGCTAAATGAGCATCCTGTTGTCAGAAGGAAAAACACTAATCTCCCTTTGGAAAGGCTACTCAGGGAGTCATGACTGAGCATCTCTCATGACCATTAACCCTCAGACTCACTGAACCCTGTCTGTGGACCCAGCACTATGCCAAGTTCTTTCATATGCAACATCTCATTCCATTCTTGTAATTTCCCTGTGACAGATGCCAAGAGGGCAACAGGGTCTATTTGGCAGGTGACAACATGAAGGCAGATTTACACAACCGCAAAAGGTCAAAGGCAGGATCCATCCCAGATGAATAGACCCAGGACAAGGGACTCTTGGCACTGGCCCACATAGAGCATACTTTTTCCTTGAATTGGCATTGCAGCCATTTCCCAACAGTGGGCGCTGCAGGGAAAACCCTGGCAGGCACCTCAGGCTTTGGGTATGAGAGAAGACACTTTCAGAGACAGCTCCATGGCAAGACTCCACAGCTGGTGTTCTTGCTTGGGTGGAAGGAGACCAATAACGGAGGTGAGACAAAGGCAGGAGACAATGCATCTGGGTTCTTCATGGGAGACTCAGCCTGCACTGCATCACCGCTACTCACAACAGCCTTCATTTACTCCCCACCCCCACCCCACTGCCTGCAGGCGTTGGCCCTGATGTGGACTTACTCTGAAGAAACTGAGAAACATCTTCCAGCTGGGGAATGTTGTCTTCACGGAACCCGCAGTACTTTTCCAGAAGTGGGAAAATGTGGTTGTGCTCGTAGCAGGCATGCGTTTTATACAAGGCCTTCAGCGTCTTGAACACTGTCCCCCAGGTCTTCTTCTCTTCTTCTGTGTACTCCACCCGAGGGATGGGCTGCCCACTAGAATACAGGCATGGAACAGGTGTCTCCAACAGAGAAGGGTCAGGACACACAGTGTGGTAAAACCAGAAGAGGGATACGGGCTCCACAATTTGTGAGATACCACCACTGACCAGCATGGACTTGAAGCATTGTTTGAAAGAGACAAGGCTCATAGGAAACACTATTGTGTTGGTTCCCACAGGAAAATGCGGTTTGCTGTCAATCTAGGAAGTTATTTGGTCTTTTTGCTCCTCTAAGAGTCCAACTGTTCAAGGTAGAAAGTGGCTTTCAGGGGCTAGGCAGGTGACATACAGGTGTAAAGAGGTATAGTATGTACAGGAGGTACAGAGAATGGGAGCTGGGACAACTAACAATGCATGCTCATTCCAAACAAAGGTACAATGTCTTGTATTATATCACCTAAAGCCATCAGCTCTGGCTAACTCAGGTTTAATACCTAGGGTGAATGTTTGAAACTTGTCTGGGGAGCTTGAACCTGCTGAGTTTGATGCTTCTGTTCCTGGGAAGTTATGAACTATTTAAGTGTAGGCTAAAGTCCCACATTGTATATATCTATATATCTTAAGGTGTGTGTGTGTGTGTGTGTGTGTGTGTGTGTGTATGTATGTATGTTTTGTTACATGGCATAAGCACAAAGATTTGTCAATTAACAAGTTTTCTAGATCAAAGGTAAGAAATTAATAAACATTGAGATGGAGGAACAAATAAGCATGATAAGGTATAAAATACGCTTATATGTGCCAAGTTTGTCAAAGCACCTACACGAGACTCTGTCCCACCATCCTGATGCACTGGAGCAGAGAGAACCAAGGACTGGTGGATCTTAATAAGCCCCCCAGGTGACCGACACAAGTTGCAATTTAAGAGTCATTAGTTTGGAAGCTTTAGAGCTGTGTCCTAAAAAACAATGAAAACCAAACAAAGCTTGACCTCTCCGACCAGGGACTGTTCCCTGGGCTGCAGCCCTGCTCCCCTCACCAGGGACATTGAGTCTGGGACAAAGTGGGACTGTTTACCTTGGAACTGTGGATCTGGTTCCAAACTAATTTCCTCATGCACTTTCAAAATTGTAGCTCGTCCAAGGACAAGAGAGCAAAGACTGTTACTTTCTATGGAAAGGTGGGCCAGGATTAGGAAGGAAAGGCAGATTGGCGATTGAGAAATGAAAAGGACACATGCTCATAGGATCTTCTAGTCAACCAGCAGGCACTGAAAAAACAGTGTCAGGTGAGCCTTTGCTCAATACCACACCATAACCCAGGGTTAAGTGGTGATGGAAGAAAAGAAAAAGGCTTTGGAAATAGAAACTGATCAAAACTTTGCCCTGCCATGTGTGACCTCAGACAATTAGTAAACAGCTATAAGCATTAGTCCTGCAGTTAACACATTTTTAAGGTGGACAAGATTGTATGAAATGTTATTCATAAATAAATATATATAAGTATATATTTATAATACTGAAACTGGCAATAACCATTGATCATTAAAATAACTAGTCCTCATTTCAAAGAAAGGCATTGATGGAGCCAAAAGGATAGCTCTGTAGGTAAGGGCACTTGCTGCTAACCCCAGACCCCACATGGCAGAGAGAGCTGATTCACACAAGTTGTCCTTGACTTCCACCCATGAGTCATGGCAGACACACACACACACACACACACACACACACACACACACACACACACACACACCAAGACAGGCAACTGGTGTTTCTGTAAAAATTCCCAGAAGTGGTGACATTTTGAATATGCAGCTCGTTGACACTTTCTCTTCCAGTGACCCAGCATGACTTTCTCCCCATTTTCAGCCTGTGGCATTTGAGAAGGAGGACACTCGATGCCACCTTTACAGGTGTAAGTGTGGTCATGGTTGTCCAATCAGTCTCTTTACCCTGCCTGAAGTGATTGGCTGAAAATCCGGTCCATGTCTAGTCAAAATGAATAAGACCCCATCACAGAGCTTCAGCTGCTTTGTAGGAAAGAGTAGGAACTTGAAGTTGGGACATCACCTGGAACCTGTCTCTGAGAGGATGAGGCCAAGCCTGAAATCTAGAACACTGTAAGTGAGTGAGTCATGGAGATGGAGCCAGAACCTGAGTTCTGATCATGCCCAGATCTGGGCAGACTAGACACTGTGGAAATAGTGAGATTAATTCTGGGGACAGACAAATTTAAAGCCAACCTTTGTCACCTCCTAACTATCTGACTTCCACAAGTTATTTAGCTTCTGCTTACTATCTGAAAAATGAGTTTATTACAATAGTGTGTGTGTGAGAGAGAGAGAGAGAGAGAGTGTGTGTGTGTGAGCATGCATGCACATTAAATTTAGCAAAACCCAAAATACTTAGCAAATAGATGATAATCAAATTGACTGTGAAGATGAGGCCCTGCCTATACTGACTTAGTGGGTCAAAATGAGGTCAGAGAAAGGTCACCAAGTTCCCTTTCTTCCGCTAAACAAGAGGCAGGGTCCAAATGGACCTTAATCTGAACACGGCCACATAACTCTCTTCGCTCCCAGAGTCATTCAGAGAAAGTGATATTCTGGATGTCTTTCCATCCATAGATACACTTGTTTTCACCCCCATAGATCCCCAGTATTTCCTTATGTCACTGAGGTCCACCAAAGCTGTTACAGTGATGCTCCAGTACCTCCATCTCCAGGACAGCTCTTCCTCAGTCTCTGGGACAGCTCCACCTGAGTCTCCAGGACAGCTCTCCATCAGTCTCCAGGACAGCTCTCCCTCAGTCTCCAGGACAGCTCTCCCTCAGTCTCTGGGACAGCTCTCCCTCAGTCTCCAGGACAGCTCTCCCTCAGTCTCCAGGACAGCTCTCCCTCAGTCTCCAGGACAGCTCTCCCTCAGTCTCCGGGACAGCTCTCCCTGAGTCTCCAGGACAGCTCTCCCTCAGTCTCCAGGACAGCTCTCCCTGAGTCTCCAGGACAGCTCCCCCTCAGTCTCCAGGACAGCTTTTCCTCAGTCTCCAGGACAGCTCCCCCTCAGTCTCCAGGACAGCTCCCCCTCAGTCTCCAGGACAGCTCTCCCTGAGTCTCCAGGACAGCTCTCCCTCAGTCTCCAGGACAGCTCTCCCTCAGTCTCCAGGACAGCTCTCCCTCAGTCTCCAGGACAGCTCCCCCTCAGTCTCCAGGACAGCTCTCCCTGAGTCTCCAGGACAGCTCTCCCTGAGTCTCCAGGACAGCTCTCCCTCAGTCTCCAGGACAGCTCCCCCTCAGTCTCCAGGACAGCTCTCCCTCAATCTCCAGGACAGCTCTCCCTCAGTCTCCAGGACAGCTCTCCCTCAGTCTCCAGGACAGCTCCCCCTCAGTCTCCAGGACAGCTCTCCCTCAGTCTCCAGGACAGCATTCCCTCAGTCTCCAGGACAGCTCTCCCTCAGTCTCCAGGACAGCTCTCCCTCAGTCTCTAGGACAACTCTCCCTCAGTCTCTGGGACAGCTCTCCCTCAGTCTCCAGGACAACTCTCCCTCAATCTCTGGGACAGCTCTCCCTCAGTCTCTGGGACAGCTCTCCCTCAGTCTCCGGGACAGCTCTACCTGAGTCTCCAGGACAGCTCTCCCTCAGTCTCCAGGACAGCTCTCCCTCAGTCTCCAGGACAGCTCTCCCTCAGTCTCCAGGACAGCTCTCCCTCAGTCTCCAGGACAACTCTCCCTCAGTCTCCAGGACAGCTCTACCTGAGTCTCCAGGACAGCTCTCCCTCAGTCTCCAGGGCAGCTCTACCTGAGTCTCCAGGACAGCTCCCCCTCAGTCTCCAGGACAGCTTTACCTCAGTCTCCAGGACAGTTCTCCCTCAGTCTCCAGAACGGCGTTGGAGTTTCTTTTTGTACATGCCTTTTCTTATTCTCTTAACTCAGAAATTGCTATTCTCAAAACACCCAGTTTCCCAAGTCACAATTTACATAGTTCCCAAGGGTTCACAACAGCAAAGCCATTGTGTTCCCAAACAACACATCTGGTATGGCCATTTTCTTTTGGCTAAAATGATAGAATTATGAACAGGAAAAAAATCCATCTCACAGCTGCTCTATACAGCTGAGTCAACCAGATCAGTAGAACACACTAGTGTGGCTGGTCCAAAGGCTCCAGGGCTCTTTATTTCATTGGAGCAGACAGATTTCTTCTTCCTGGTCTAATGTGGAAAAGACCAGAGGCTGTTCCTTTCAGGATGGAAGCCTCTCCGATTACAGATACAATGAATGCTGAGTTAGCAAAGCTTGAGAGAGAGCTGGGCTACAGCAATGGGTACTTCTGTTTGATCTAGAGGCTATTTTTCCAAACGTGTTTTTAGGAGAGAGCCTAAACACATATGCACACATAAGCATATTCACGTACATACACATATACACACACATACCTCCACACAAACATACACACACATATACATATACATACCTACACACACCAACACCCATACACCCACATACACACATGCAAAAACACAAACATACAACTACACACACACACACACACACACACACACACACACACAAAGCAGGGTGTCCTGGACTGATTCTTTCCAACCTAGAGCAAGGGTTAGGAATATGCTCTGCTTAGGGAGACTTACTGGCGGTAGTTGTAGGCAATGTCAGCAAACTGCTTTCGTCTTGCCCGGTACACAGGATCTTTAAAGCCCTAGGAGAGAGAGACACTTGATGACTCAGGTCTGCAGAGGGAGAGGCCTGACACTGCTATGGAATAGTCTTTTTGCACACTGTGAAGATGTGTTGCTCTCATTGGTTTAATAAAGAGCTAATGGTCAATAGCTAGGCAGGAAAAGTTAGGCGTGACTTGCGGACAGGGGAAGAGTGCTGGGATGAAGAAGGGCGGAGTCACCAGGATTCAGAGAGAGGCAAGATAAACTTGCTGTGCTGAAAAAAAGATATCTCCATGTGGTAGATCATAGATAAGAATTATGGATTGTTAATTTAAGTGGTAAGAGCTAGTTAGTAACAAGCCTGAGCTATCAGCCAAGCATTTATAATTAATAAGTCCCTATGCATTTATTGGGGAGCTGGTGGTCCCCGACAAAAATCTCTGCCTACATGGCACCTCTACTAGCAATCTGAGTGGAAGTTTTTCAGCTATGAGAGCACGTGTCTCTTTTCCTTGATGATGCTCTAACACACAGACAGTTCTTCCATTGTTGTGAGGGACACACACTCAGACACACCTTCAGGGCAGTGAAATCTTCCCCACCCTGAGATTCCAATATCTACAGATATACTCTGATCTTTTAAAAAATGTCATCCATACCATTCCCAGCTTCTAAACTAATGGGACCAAGTCAAGTTAGATGTCTGTGTTGAAGGCATAAAGTCTTCACTCTGGCAAGTGGTGTGTGTTTAGTAATACCTCCTTGTGTACACCTATCTGTGTGCCTGTGCTCATGTGTGTGTGTGTGTGTGTGTGTGTGTGTGTGTGTGTGTGTGTGTGTGTGTGTGTTGGAATTTATGTACGTTGTGGGGTGGGGACATGCTAAATCCAAAAGTCAATCCTTGGCTGTCAGTCCTCAGGGAACTTTTACCTTGTTTTACGAGATAGGTATGTGACACCATGCCTAGCTCTTCACATGGATGCCATGGCCTGAACTTGGGTCATCGTGTCTGTACATCTGTTCTTTTCTAACTGAGTTATTCCCACAGTTTCCATAAGAAAATAGTCACTATGGAAATTAGTATGGAGGCTTCTCCTCATTTCTTGGCAAACAAATGGAAATTGCATTTTATTTTCTTTAAATAAAATATTTCTGGATAGCCCAAACTGGCCTCAACTCTCCTGTCTCAGGCTCCCAATTGCTAGGATTACAGGTCTGTGCCACCATGCCCTGCTGGCAATTGTTGAAAATGTTCTTCACCAGGTGTCTACAGCTGTGCCAGCTTCTGGCACAAAGATGTCAGGCAGATCAGTACGCATAGTCTTCCAGAATCCCCGAGACACCGGAGAAGTGGATCCACAGTGGAGGGGCCAAGCTTTGGATGACCCAGCTCTCTGCTCTTTTTACTATACTTCAGCGATTGTGAGCCTTGCTGACCTGGCAGGCCCACCACTGATGGAGCAAGCCATCCTGGACAAGAGGGTGATGACTTCTCTGGGGCTGACTGGCAGGCAGTCTTCCCAGGGGTGCCAGCAGCACATTTCCAATGAGGAGAGGCCAAGTGTGTCTTTGAGTGTTTAGGGTGGAGTGGGGTACATCAGGAGCTGGAAGTGTCCCAGCTGATGGGAAGAGTACTTGACAGAAAAGTTCATTGTGCTCTGAAGTTCAGTGAGACAAGAGACTGGTACATTGCCATAGAGCTCGTCTTTGTTCCCTGCAGACATTTCCCAACAAACTCTTCCAGAAAGCACTTTAATGTGCAATCATCTGTCTCCAAACCATGGGCTGAATGGCTTGAGAACGCAGGCTTGTATCACAGGCAGTGTTTAAAGACGCGTTTGAAGAAGGCCAATAGCCCCTGGTTTCCAAGTGTTGCCCTGTTTTCATTGCTTGACTGGTTGGTTAGGTTTTGTTTTTTATGTCAGGGTCAACCAACAGTATTTTTAAGGCAATTTATATAAGGCAATTTTACCTAAGAACCTGGAGCAGGGAGAGGCAGGGAGGGAGGGAGAGAAAGAGGGAGGGAGAGAGGGAAGGAGGGAAGGAGGCAGGGAGGGAGGAGAAGGGGAAACTGGAGGAAAGATAAAGGATGGATTTTGAGAAATAAAAATCCCTGAAAGCATCACACTAGCAAAGTAAAATGGCCATGTTGTTATTCCACACCCAAACCCCAATTAAAGGAAATACTACTCATTTTAAAGATTATACAACACAGTTGTTAAAAAGCATAAGCTGTTCTTTTCCCCTGAAACACTGGCTGGATTGGTATCATTAATTACATATGGGGGACTGGAGAGATGGCTCAGCATCTTAACTCCGTTAAGAAAATCTTGGAGCTCTTCCAGAGGACCCAGATTTGGTTTCCAGAGTTCACATAAGATAGCCCACAGCCACCTGTAAATCCAACTCCAGGGGATACCATACCCTTTGCAGGGCTCTAAGGGCACTCACACACATGCACACACACACACATGCACACATACATGCACACACAGACACATACCTATGCCTAAATGAAAATAAAATAGTCATTAGAAATAAAAACCAATAGGGAACTTGGAAGCATTTGTTTGCCTGCTGTCGGTTTTTGAGGCAGGGTCTTACTCTGTAGTTCAGGCTGGCATATGTAATCATCCCACCCCAGGCTCCTGTGTATTGCGACTAAATGTGCACACTATGACACCATGCTTTAGGAACCTAAGAACTTGCAATTAGCATAGCGCTCATTTATGCTGAGGAAAGATGAGTGCCCTTAGATATGCTAAGAAGAAAACTGGGCCCTGTGGTTTAATTTCCAAACATCACCAGCTTGCCACTGGGGACCATCTCTACTAGACTAGACAATAAACATTTACTTATCCATATATTCATGCTTGAACTCAAAATATCAACTCAAATTTAGCAATTGCCATCTTGACTAGCCAGTCTTAACAGATGGTGCTTTGTGTCTCTCCCTAGTCCTTCAAAGTATAAATGAAAGATTTCCACACCATCAGACACTAAAGAATATCTAATTCTGCTTTGGTATCAGAAGGGTAGAAAATGAAGCCCCCTTAGGCCATCTGCTGAAGGAATTGTAAAAAAAAAAAAAAAGTAAAACTAAGGCTAACCATACCAGCAAGTTGGTATTTGACATCTGAAGCAGAATAGTGAGAAGACATGAGAGAAGACTCATTCAATAGAAGGATTTCCATGTTGTACCGCCTTCAGGAAAGGGATGCCCACATTTAATTCTCACCCACACTCAACTATTGTTCATCATTGGTGTGCCTTGTGGGTGCTTTATGGATTTTCCATTTGTGAAAATAAAATCCCAATGCAAAATTATTTATCTAGTAGACAGTCTATATGTTAAGAGGAATATACAAGTGTTCCTTGGAGATGGTGGGGATAGTGGTTAGCCAATGATGCCATGTACATTTTTGAAGTTTTCTGCTGTATGTATTTTTTTGTAATTGGAAGGAAACAAAATAATATTCTAACTCCATTTCAGATCACTTGAGTGTAGTGGCAGGAAATCCAGTACATGAACAGACGTGTGTAGCATGTTACAGAGAGTCATCATTCCGGCTCCTTCCCAACTATGCTCATTCCGCATTCCCTGTCTCTAAAACATTCTATATGAACCTGCAAAGAGCTCCCACCAATCAGGTCTCAATAGGTTTCTCTGGTTAGATCTGTGACCTTGAAGCCTATTCTTTCAGATATTTGACCTTTCATCTTTTGGGTTGACAGGTGACCACACGGTGCCTGCATCCATCACCATAAGATGCATTCTGAATTAAGCTGTAATTGGTGATGACTGATCACCCTGTCTCAATTTAGACTAATAGCAGCAATTTCTCCAGCACCTCGTGCAATTTATTTATAATCACCCTGCCTCAATTAAGCTAATAGCAGTGATTTAGGTTGCCCTGCATGTAACCGAGCATGTTTTGACAGGAAAACATAAGTGAAGGAGTGGTGAAGGGAAGGGGGTCAGAAGAAGGAAAGAAAAGTCTGTGAGATAAGAAATTATGACACCACCAGAGCCTATATGCAATCCCTTTTCTCAGTCTCAGAAACTATACTACTTCAGGGTATCTATGACATGCCATCTGAGGATACTTCTAGACTGACATATCTAGTTCACTGTTTCTTCATGTCACAACTGGGGTTGAAGCTTACAAATGCCGTCTTCAGGACAGCAAGGAGACCATGGGTCTTAAACTGCCTCGCTGCAGGAGCATGGTGGTATGTTGATCAGTTTACCCCTGAAGCTTTAGCTCTCTCATAAGGAAGATAAGGTTGCTGATCACACCTGTTTCACAGAGTCACATGGGCAGGGTTAGGTCACATGGCAGACAGCGTGTGAAAATGTGAGCACAGGACAGGCATTCCAAGAGTGGCACATCTGCAGAAAGGCAGAATCCAGAAAGCTCTGGCTCAGAGCACAGGAAGGCACACTCTGGAGTGGGACTCCCTTCACATGCCCTCGGCACCTACGGGGCCAGCCAGAGGGCTCAGCAGCGTGAGGTGCTTGCTTCTCAGGCCTGGTGTTTGGTGCCTGTGACCCACATGGTAGATGGAGAGCACAGACACCCTCAAACTGCTCTCTGGCCTCCACAAGAGTACAGGGGCACACATACACCCATACACATACATCGTACATGCACACACATTCTGTATTTCCTCTAATAATTATAAATTTTTTGAGATAGGCTCTTTCAACATAGCCCTGGCTGTCCTAGAACTTACTTTGTAGATCAGGCTGGCCTCAAACTCACAAAGGCCTGCCTGCTTTTACCTCCATAGTGCTGGGATTAAAGGTGTGCATCTCCAAGCCCCTCCCATATAAATTAATGTTTAAAATAAAAAGTAATAGGTATTGAAAAAGTTTTAAAGAAAAGGTACCACTTGAGTTCTATTGGTGGGAACATAAAACATTACAGACAATGGTTCGAGGTCCTGTGAAACATGCATAGTAGAACTCCCACACTCTTCAAGTAAACCCACATGCACAGTCTTTCCTGTGGCAATAGAAGGCAATGCTGCTGCCTGGAGAAGAGATGGGAGAATGGCTTTGGGGGAGGGGCAAGAGATAGGTGTGCGGCCTTGAAAGACCAGTCCAGGCTTGCCAGTGAGGTTAAACAGCTGCAATGCTCTGAGGAGGAGCCACTCAGGAAAAGGGCACAGCATGGCCAACATGGGGAACGGAAGTCAAAAACATCCCTTGGGGTTCTGCCCACAAAGCTTACAGTTGCTATCTCAGGTCCCCCTGGCATCACATAGAAAAGTTGACATCTTTCCCTTTTTGCTCTGCAATTACAAGGGCAGGTGGGCACAGATGCATCTTGGGTATCACTTCAGCTCCCTTTCCTACAGGCATAGAGCACAGCTCACAGACACAATTTCCTAAATCCTAACCTGAGGTTGAGAGGCCCAACCCTGCAGAGTGCTGACTGGAACGGAAATTAACCACATGCCAAGCATTTAGCATTGTGCCTAATACACAGACAACGATCAAGAAAGGTTAGCTAGTAATGCCTGCTAAAAATTGATAAATACTTGTGGAAAGGAAGAAGGGAGAGGGAGAGGAAGAGAGAGAGGGGAGAGAGGAGAGAGGGGGAGAGAGAGGGAGGGAGGGAGAGAGAGGGAGGGAGGGAGGGAGAGGGAGGGAGGGAGGGAGGGAGGGAGGGAGGGAGAGAGGGAGGGAGGGAGGGAGGGAGGGAGGGAGGGAGGGAGAGAGGGAGGGAGGGAGGGAGGGAAGGAGAACACAGCATGTGGGACAGAATGGAGGACAGTCTTTCATCCTATTCCATTTTCTCACTTACCCTGGATTCCCAGAACAACCTCTCCTTTCCCGGGTTCACAACGTGGCTGTTTGGGAGGCTCGAAAGTACTGGGTCAAACACAAGCAGGCTGCCAAGGGCAGGGGGTCAGGGGAGGAAGGGATCGCTGCGCTGACTGCAGGGACAAAGCGGAACAGAGGGTCCTTGAAGACTGCTAGGGTGCTGTCTGCTTGCAGTTCACACCTTGAGGCCAGGCCTGCGGGGGCTGGAGGCGTCGGGAACACCCTTGGTTTTGCTCTGTTCCCAGCATCTGATGAAAGACCGAAGGAACGGAGAGAGCCTGGTGCCTCCTCTACGGGGGCCTGTGTACCTGATAAGTTGTGTTTTTATGATAAAATTCACGACAGGGAGAGCCTGGGAAGCCAAAGTTGTGGCCTGGGTTGGCAAAGAGAAATGAATTCCAGAGAGTTTTAAGGCCAGTTTTGGCTTCTGAGGGGACATGACACTAAAGGGAAGGACATGTCCCTCTCTCTCTGGACTGGCCTCTCCCACCCACCCAAATGATTAGGACTGAGGCCAATGGGAAGGACAGAGGGTCAAGGCAGGAGGAGGGGGCTGATGGGAGAGGAAAGCTCTCATGTGCGTGCATCCTGCGGGTTGATTCAGGTCAGTCTTGCTTTCCTGGGAGGAAGAAATCTCCGGAGATGGATTGTGCTTGCGTTCTCATGGCTGAGAGGCACAGGCAGAGGTTTGTCAGAGGGGACATCAGTGTGTTGCCAATGTGGCCTTTGCCACCTGAAATGGACTGTGTCATACACAGGAAGACAACAGAGAATCTGTCCCTCCAGAGTTGGCATTTTCACTTTGTTTTCAGTTTAGCTTGGTTTCATTTGATTTGATCTACTTTGAATCTGGTCTAGTTTGGTTTGGTTTTAGAGACAGAGTCTCACTACATAACCCAGGCCATCTCAGAATTCACAAGCCTTCTGCCCGAGGCTCACAAATGCTCACCATTTGGTCTGTGAAACACACTATTAAAGGCATAAGTGGGATGCTTAGAAACAACTTCTATCCTCAGTTCAGGGTAATTTATTCTACTGTCACAATTAAGATTTAGGAGAGCTGTCATAAGTCCATTTGAAGATGCCAGGAAGAACTCTTCACTTCAGTGTAACAATGGAGATGGGCTTGTGTTGGCAATGCCTGCTGAGCGCCTGTTGATACATACGTGTACACTTGTGTGGCTATGCAGGTAGGGGACCTCTCCCAGACATCAATATTATTTTAGAAAAGTGTGGAAATAGTATTTTATCTGCTTTGAATGTAGAGGGCAGGATGAATTCTCCTTGTTTCTATTCATTAAACGCCCCTCTCTCTAATTCGCTCTCTCTTTAATCGAAGAACAGGATGAAGAGAAAGCTGGGTAAGTGAGGTTGCCGGAGTCTCCATCGTCTTCCTTATGCAGTTCAAGTCTGCTCACAGGTCTGCTCTATTTGGTTTAGAGCACATGCCAGCTGCTCCTGTTTTGAAAGTCTGGCCTATGGCTCCCTGTTGCTTGGCAGGCAGGAAATTGAGTTTCTTGACAGCAGCCAAACTTGTGTCTTCAATTACCCTGAGCACTGGGGTGAAGGTCCAAGGAGCCCAGGTTTGATCAACAAAGGATGTTGTAGAAGGTGCCTGTCATCCCTGGGCCTGTCTGTGAGATGGAAGCCTTAACCTGCTTATAGGAAACTGCCTTTGGGAAGGGCGAGCCTCCTGTTGATTGTTAGTCTTCACAAGGTCGTGAAGAGACTCTGGACAAGACAGACGTGCCCTAGCACCAGCCACACTAAAACCTTGTTAATATAGACTGCTTCCTGGTTCAAAGGCCAGAGAGTCCATTGCCTGACAGAGGGTGGAACCTGAGGTCACAATGACACACCACCCACCCAAGGAAGCTGCCAAGCCACCTCTGTTCACCTCCAAGGACCATTGGCCCTAGAGAAGAAGAAGAAATAAGGAGACCCCCCAATACACACACACACACACACACACACACACACACACACACACACACACACACACACACCTGATCCATTTCTTAGTGAGAACCCATTTAAAAACCTATTCTCTGATCATAAGTTGAGGGCACACTGAAATTCACCACTCCAGTATTGAAGACTTTTGAAAATCTGACCCAACCCATGTCAGCTCGCCCTGTCACTGTCATACCTGAGGCACCACCCGCCCACCCCCTTCCCTGGAGGAACTCCTAAAAGCAGGTGTGATCCTTTCAGCCAAATGCCCCTCCTCCCTCATCTGACTAGAACCCTGCTCAGCTCTCTGAAGGGCCAGTGTCAGCTCTCTCACTGTCCCCTAGATGTGCCTGATTTAAGTGTCCATAAAATACACAAAGGCAGAAATAGAAATGCATACAGATGTACAGGGACAGCGTGTCCTGGCCACTGGTTCCCATTCCCTGCAACAGTAACGACCTCAGTAACGATGACAATGAGATCTCATGGTCTCGTTCATCCCGGCGTTCCCAGTCCTGGCATATATACAAACTCAGAAAACTCTTTTCTTGATCAAATAAGCAAACACATTGCTCCAAGAGGAAGATGTGGGAGGAAGGGAAAAGGAGAGAAGACGGAGGGGAGGTGGGAAGACTGTGATCTAGGGCCCTAGACTCACCGGGTGGTCTGCGTCCAGCTCTGCTCCATAGCTGAGAATCTGATTGGCGAACCTGTCCAGCTCTTGAATGGTCCTTGGGAACCAGGGCACTGCAACACAGAAGGGGCAGAGTCCTGAGTGTAGATCGTGCGACACGTGGCTAGCGGCCTCCCCCTGTCCCCAAGCGGTTATGTTGATGGTGACAGCAAACGAGGTTCTGCATAACTCCTACAAGGCTAAAGTTAAACATTTAAGCTGCCTGGTCCACACCTCTAATCACAGCCCTTCGGAAGCAGAAGCAGGTAGGTCTCTCAGAGTTCAAGGTCTGCCTGGTTTACAGAACAAGTCCCAGGGCAGCCAAGACTACATATAGAGACCCCGACTCAAATAAATAAATAAATAAATAAATAAATAAATAAAATTTAAATTTAAAAAACACTAAAATCCATTTTTCTGTGAAACTGATTTAAAACACGCCCCCAAGAAACCAGCAGAGCAGGCCTTGGCCTGGGCTGTTCTTCTTGGGACCCTCTGTCTCTGAGAATAAGGAATAAGAAGGTTTTAACCTGGTCCTCTACTGGAGCCTGTTAAAGGACCCTTTCCCTGCCCACAGAACGCAGGACAGAGTCAAGTTCTACACTCTGCAATGTTAGACCCTTGGAACTCTGAAACCCACACCCCAGCTCTCAGTCTTGTGCCTAAAGGTTTCCAGAATTATCTCAAACTCATCCCTGGCCACCACTTACAGTTGCTGTCACTAAGGATTCCTTCAGTGGCAAAATATCATGTGTAGCCCCAACTTTCTACCAAGTGACTCCCTCCTGAGTGCCTTGGACACCCCTACAAAACCTTTTGATCTCAAAGCCAGTTATGGCCCTGTGAAAGTGACAGGTAGCTTGCAGCTCAGTTTCTAAAATAACATCATGAGGAAAAAGATGCCTGAGTTCTGTGTTTGCAGTAGTGGTGTCCCCCAGAAAGGGGCCAGGGTGAAGAGTAAATGACTCCGTCCAAGTCCTTGTGGCTTATAAGAAAGAGACACCCTGGGTCCAAGTGTCTGAGTGCCCCGAGGGCAGGAGCTGTGAGTGTCGCATGGCTGTGGAGAGGAGAGAGGGGAGTTACCGGAACACATAGGGGTTTACACTATTCACGGCCGCTACTCTGACCTAGTTTCTGCTCCTTAAGGTCCTCCTCAAATAAGGCATTACAGCCTCTATTATACTGATGAAAACCGAGTATTTCAAAAGTCTGAAAATCAAAATAATTGGTTTAAGATCACGCTGGGACTAAGACAGAGCCAGAATGATGAGCGCAGATAGACACGGTTTAAGATCACGCTGGGACTAAGACAGAGCCAGAATGATGAGCGCAGATAGACACGGTGGGATCCACGCAGTGAGCCAAGGCTGCAGCTGTTATGCCTGAAGAGTCCAGCGCGGACTTGGCGAGTAGCCTCAGCCTGGTTTCAGATGATCAGGGTCTCTGTGCTCAGTTCCTTCTCTGTGAGGATAGCGAATGTTTTCCAAGACCTTACTGCGTGCTGGACACTGGGTTTAGCATTTGGGGTGGGGTGTGTCCTTTAGTCGGAGGTTTCCTTGAGCAAGGGATGAAGGAGTATTGCCCCATAAGGTTCTGCCTGCCTGCAACCTCAAGTGGGATGCGAAAGAACACTCCTGCCATCCAGTGGTTAATCTGAGGAAATGCCCTCTGGGGAACTAAGCAGTCGCCTACAGACAAAAATGAGCAAGGATCCTCAAAACTTTGGAGTCAAGGACTTACACCAACTTGCGTTCATAAAATGCAGTTAGAGCCTGATCTTTGTGGATCTGAGTTTCAGGAGCCCTCCACTCTCCACGTCAACAATGCACCAGCTCTAGGTGTGGCTCTAAATACTCTTTGTGCAACCTGGTGCTCAAAGGTTGTGTGTGTTTCCAAGCGTGGCTGAGGAACTTTTGCCAAAATCATCCCTTTGTTTCTGGGACAATGCAATATGACACAATTTTAGAGTTCCGTTGGTTCAAATTTAACAGACAATATACATCCACAGGTGCACAGGCACACCGACACAGGCATGCACACACATACATACACATGAACAAAGCATATGCACATGCACTCACACTCACTCACACTCACACTCACACACACACACACACATGCCTGCACTGCTGGTGAATGATGGAGCCAGGATTCACTTCCAGCTGCCTCCATGCTCGCTCCTGGATCTTGACCTCAACCCGTCTGTCATGGAAGGGCAGTGATACAGCCAACTGATGGAGAGCACTGACTCTGGAGCCTGACTGGCTCTTTAACTTTTCATACTGGGGTTTCCATGGGCTTAAAGCACAGGTCACTTGTCCACCTCTCCATAATGGTGACAACAGAAGCAATCTTAGCTTAATGATGCCACTCACATTACAGGTGCCATCCTCAACACCTTACCTAAGTTAGCCTGGTGACCTGTGCTATCTGTAGGGCCAGGCTACACCCAAACCTCCAGACTGTTAGACCTTTGGCTTGACCATTGTTTCTCAGTCAATAGAAGCCTCCCTAAGGACGATATCACATGTATTTTGTAGCCTAGTGACCTCTAGGATATCTGTGTGGCCGAGACCACACCGGGTCCTCCCCGGGCCTTTAAACTGCCTTAAGATTTTTTGCACTCATGGGATTGACATAATTGTTGCCAGGAAAACATTTTCCAGACTTGTACTGGACTTAAATACCTAAAATATAAACTGACCAGTATCAGACTCCAGAAGTTAGAACCAACACCAGTTGACTAAGCCTGGTTAAACCGGGCTCCCTTCTTACCTCACTCAGATCATGTCTCTGCTGGCTGTAGCATTTACAGGGACACCCACTGACGACGACTGCTTCCCAGACCTGTCCCTAGTGTTTCTCTGGCATGATGAACCTCTGTGATCAGCCTTGGCACTGGTTCTATTTCCTAGTCCGCTTCGGCAGCACCAAGGAAAGATCGGGTCTCTGGTGAGACCTCGCTTATCTCTTCAGGTGTTGCCATCAAAGGGCCTCCCTGAGTGACCCTGGTCTGGGCAATGAAACATGCCCCTCTCCCCTCATGGAGCACCACCTCCTCAGTTCGGGTCACCACTCATTGCTTACTGTTCATTTATCTCTTGCCTGAGAGTCACTCACAGGTCAGGACTGTGTCAGCAGAAACACAAGGTAAACTTACTTGTCACACTGCCTTCCAACCTATGGATACTCAGACCCCCATACCCCAGCATGCATTGAACACCACTGCACTCCAGGTCCTGGGCACGAGAGGTGACAACACTGGTGGCCATCCTGGAGTGCTTACACTCCACGGAGGCTGTCCAACCAAGCAATCGAAGTAAATAAATAAACGTCAGCACTGGGAGCTCCTAAAGAAGCCAGTGGATCAGGAAGACAGAAGCCATGGGTACGCTATTTCACTTATTTCTTTCAAACCTTCTCCAACTTTCTTAAGTTGTTACTAATAAAACGTGTGCATGTTTGTATGTAATAACATTGATTTGATATACATACGCAATGTAAAATAGTTGCTGCAGTCAAGAACATGACCTCATCCATTGCTTCATATAGTTACCACTGTGTATATGTGTGTACATGTACGCAAGTGCGTGTTGAGGACACAAAATGTCTCTCATAGATTTCAAGTACACACTGTATTTATTATTATTTATTGCATGTTGCATGTTAGATCGATGGAGTTTATCTTACAACTGAAACTTTGTACCATTTAGCCAATATCTCCCTACCCCCACACCCACACCCACCCCTACCCCTACCACTACCCAGCCCCCCAACATCTGGTAAACACCATTCTCTGACTCTGTAGATTTAATTTTTCAGGCTCCCTAAATGAGTAAGGTGCTGCAGCATCTATTTACCATCAGTGAGCTTATTTTCCTTAGTGGAAAGACCCCATTCATACTGCGGCAAATAGAAAGGTTACCTATGATAGCTGAATCATATATATATCCTGCATTTTCTGTATCTATTCACATGTCTGCGAACATCCCATGCTTGGCTACAGCCAACTATGCCACAATGAACAATGAAGTGCTGACGAGTTTTCGGGATACTGATTTCATACTCTTTGAATGTATGTATGCCCATAGGTGGTATATGCTGGCCATACTCTGGTTCTATTTTAATGTGAGGCACAACTACAAACTGGATTTCATACGTCTGAACAGATTTACTGTCCATCCAGGGTGCAGAAGGATTCTTTGTCCTGTGTCTCATCGATACTGGATATCTAGTATCCATTTTGTTAGCCATACGATTTTATTTAAATGGCATCTGTTCCTCCAGCTCCTGAAGATCCTAGGGACTCAGTCCTACTCTGGCAGAGCTCAGTGGGATCTGGGACCATCAGAGTCTATGCCTGCTTCACTGGTGTCCCCTGTCTCTTCTCAGGTCAGTGAGCTTGGAAAGGCAAAGAGCCCTGTAAAGGAGCCAGATTGCCTGTCTCTGCCTTTACCATCTAAGAGTTCAGAAAAGTAACTAAACATCATGTGCCTCTGCATTCCTTCTGTAAAATGGCAATGTAATAAGTACTACAGAGTACCCCAGCATAAGAACAATAAGCACTCAAAGGAGTCAATATAGAGGCATTTCTGAAAAGTTAAGGCATGTAATGGATATCACTTACTAAATACATTCTGAGAAATGCATTTCACCCTGTGTGATCCAGAGAGTATTCATGCAAACTCAGATGTCTGCAATATTAGTAAGCACTATCCTCTTATACGACTCATTATATGTTATATGGGGTCCACTGTATTCTGTAACATCTTTATATGGGGCCTGACTATGTATGTTTTCACACACGTATATGCACATACACACACACACACAGAGAGAGAGAGAGAGAGAGAGAGAGAGAGAGAGAGAGAGAGAGAGAGAGAGAGAGAGAGAGAGAGAGAGAGAGAGAGAGAGAGAGAGAGAGAGAATAACTCTGTGTTGTTTTCCTCATCTCATAAAGAGCAAAGTGAAATTCTGGGAAGACTACACACGCCTGTATTTTGTCTTCTGGATCCAGAAAACAGATTCAAGGAATCTTTCTTTGCTGTTAAATGAAGTGAACTCTGAAACCAAC